GAAAGAAAGAAAGAAAGAAAGAAAGAAAGAAAGAAAGAAAGAAAGAAAGAAAGAAAGAAAGAAAAGAAAGAAAGAAAGAAAGAAAGAGAGAAAGAAAGAAAGAAAGAAAGAAACCCAGCCAAGTATTTGCCAGTTATATATGTCTCTGTTTTGTTTTTCCCACTCAACTTGCCCTGCTGGATTGTATCAGTCTAGACCCAACAGCTTTGGCCCACAAATGCAAGGATAGATACATGCTGCCTTTGAAGAGTTGCTAGAAGCAATTAATAAGAGAAAAAAGGAAGGCTGTGCCAGTTTCAGCCCTAAGGGACTGCAGGCTTAATGACAGGTTGTTGGTTATGTAGGCTGTTAGGGGCTGCTGGACCCCCACTGCTTCAGCAATCTTGAGAGCAGGTGAACATTGCAATGGAGAAGGTAGAGGGAGTTGGGAATTTTTGCTCCCAAATGCCCACATAAGCATAGTGCCCTGCTTAGCACCACTAGTGGAATAACACTGGCCTGTTATAACTAAAAAGGACAAAACGTGGAGGTAGGTAAAAGAACTACATCTGTGCCTGCTGGGTGGAGCTGTTTTTGAAACTTTGTCAGAGTTCACTGCAATTGCGTAATGGTATTTGCCACAAACACTAATAAGGTTTCGCTATTAACAGTAAACAACTCTGGATATGCAGAATAGATATCAGCTCCCAGAACATCTCTGAGGTGGCAACAAGGAGAAAGGGTAGCTAAACATGTAGACTTCTTGCTTTTCAAATGTCTGCTTTTTAAGAAGTCACTTTCATATACTGTGAGTAGTACTGAAACAAGGACATCATGTTTAACTGCGTATGCATTTATTTGTGCTGGATATACTAACACAAGTACTAGTGTACAGTAGCGTGCAGATACTAAAGAGCCATTTACCAACTGGGATGACTGCAGCTAGGACCTGGTTCTGTGTTTTGGTACTTAAAGGGGGCCTAACCAACCTGAGGCACCTTATCAACAATAATTGCCAGGAAGCAGCTGAAGTAATCCTGAGCTTTGGTGTTCTCTATCTAAATATTGGGTGAGGTTAATATGCTCCATTGTCTCACTACTACCCTTCTATCTGACTGGGTGTTCACAACACTGTCCCATATGCAGAAGAGCAGCCAAATTTGAAACTGCATGACTTTCAGGTGCCATCTCAGGGGCCATGCTGGCTGGGGTTAATAGAAACTGTAGTCTAAAACATCAGATTATGAAAGGGTGATCCAGAGTTTCATAATACCTCTGTAGCCTACTTAGATCGTATGTACAATGGCATCCTCTCTCTGTTATTGGTTCAGCACATCAGCATAGCTGGGAGTGTGGCACAGATACAGCAGGACCTGGAAAAACTGGCTCATGTTTTTCTTGTGATGGAATCTATAGTTTTCCTGCAATTGTTTGTTAAGATGTAGGTGGCCAGGCAGAGACAATACTTCAATGCAGGTTAAAATTATTAGCATGTAGAGTTGGGCGTGCTTTAGTAATAAATCTTCTAGAGCATTTGCTTAGTATTCCCAGATATTCCCACTCCAGCATTTGGGACAATACTGTGTAGCTTCCCACCTTCAGAGACCTCCCTGGGAAGTAAAACAAGACTGATGCTAGTGAAGCTGAATGAAATACATCAATTGCTTAGTCATCTTCTCTTTCTCTTTACAGTTCAAGTCTTGGTTGATGGTGCACCAGTTCGTATCCAGTTGTGGGACACTGCAGGACAGGTGGGGCCTATAAAAGTAAAGAATATTTGCAGCTCTGGTTCAAATGCCATGCTAAGGATAAAATCAGGAAAAAAATAATGAAAATAATTCAGTAAGAATGAAATTATTCTGACATTCAGTAACAATATACAGCATAGTTCTGGCATACATACCTTACACTAAAATAATATTATTCCTGTATTGGAGAGGAGACACAGTGTTTCCCTCTGGTGAGTTCTTGTTTGAAATAACCCTTGAATTGGAAACTCTTAGACTTGTATAATATGCTAAACATGCTATGGATGCTGTTCTGCACACCTGGAAGAAAGGTGGGCTATAAATTTAACAAAGAAATAAACTGATATGGTTTGCCTGTTTGTGTGACTTATGGCCAGCTAACTGAAATGTACTGATTTTTTTTTTTTTTTTGCAGCAAGATTTTTTTTTTAAAGGAATATTCTGTCTGGAGGCACAGGACTTTTTAAGGGAAGCATGAGCTCTGAAATATTAATTGGAACATGAGTTTTTGATTTGATTGTTTACATGACTGAGAAGCCGTTTTAATGGGCATTAAAAGTTCCTCCCTTCTTCAATGGTCTATTTAGTGAATTAACCTATTCTTAAAAACCTAATTTGTTAACTAAGCCACAGTGGCTGCATTTACACATAACACTAGCCATAAACCTTAATGCTTTTGGGGCAATGGGCACATCTGGGATTTTGAGAGTATGTTCTGGACAGGCTCAGAGAATGGCTGCCATCGTGGATGTGTCCAATTCACAAACATCCATTTTACAGAAGGCAAAATGGTGAAGCTGCCCTCCGCTCATCACCTGCTCTGGCTCCCCAGGATGCTTGCTAACACCTCAGTTTTATCCTACTTTTTGCTGGGCACATTCCAAATAGAGCACTTGGCTATAGATACCTACCAGTTCTATTTTCTAAGAATGCCTCTGGAGTTTATGTGTAGCCCAGCCTGGAAGCATTCTTGGAAATAAAAAATAGATCCATTCTTGGAAACTAAAAATATGTATGAGGCTGAAGACTGTTGGCTTCCCATGTATGTATGTATGTATGTATGTATTTAAATGATCAATATTTCAAAAAATAAAATCTGAACACCAAAAGAAGCATCCACAGGCACATTGATGTCCTATGCCAATGAGGGATTCAGGCCATAAACTCTAATGGCAGGGTTTACCCAGCATGCTAAGCCAAAATATGTTTGGTTTGGTTTTAGCTTAGTGTGTTGCGTGAACTGAACCAATTAACTTTATATCTAGTAGCTATTAATTGGCTTAATTTTCCTCTTAAATGCTCTTGGGAAGACTCAGATGGTTTCTAACCTTTGGAGGATTTGCTGGGTGAAAGTTGGAAAGGTCCTGCTTTGGGGCTTTGTGGAAAAGACAAGATTGCAACGCCTGCTAAGTGTAATTAATACTGTAAATGTTTGACACAAATTGATCTCCATATTTCTTTTCCCTGTATAGGAAGACTTTGATTGCCTCCGCTCTCTCTGTTACCCTGACACAGATGTCTTCCTGGCCTGCTTCAGTGTTGTAAATCCCACCTCCTTCCAAAATATTACAGAAAAATGGATTCCAGAAATAAGAACTCACAATCCCCAAACACCAGTGGTGCTAGTGGGAACACAGTCTGACCTGCGAGATGATGTCAAAGTGCTAATCAGCTTGGACCGCTACCATGTAAAACCTGTGCCGAGAACACAAGCCGAAGGCCTGGCGGAAAAAATCCGGGCTCAGACTTATGTAGAGTGCTCTGCTTTGACTCAAAAGAATCTGAAGGAGGTTTTCGACACAGCCATTGTTAGTGCAGTTGAGTACAAAGCCCAGCAGGAAAAGAAAATGACAGCCAAAGGAATCAAAACCCTCTCTAAATGCCGATGGAAGAAATTCTTCTGTTTTGTCTGAAACTGACTCCAGTAAGGAATGTTTGTAAGCCAAAGTGGCCTGGAGCCCAAGTTCTTGTTGGATTATGGTGAAACTTGCCTGGGAGACAGGAAGTAGAAGTGTAGCATCAAATGGTCCATGCTACCTTCAAGCATCTGGGATGATCTGATGTTTTATGTACTGAATCCAGTATTTAAAGAACAGCCAGGTTAATTTATATATATATTCCAGGCAAAATTACCAGTTTTTATGACTTTTGAAGGCTTCACAGCATATTAATTAAACAAATTAATCAAATCTGGGAATAGTAGTCCCAACTTGCCTAGAGGGCACCTGAACAGGGAAGGTTGAATGAAACTTGATTTAAAGCTTGAGTTATAAATTTGAGAGTTATATCTCATTTTTGAGTCATAATAACAGATAGAGGGGTTTCTCAATGCAGAACTAAAACTTCAATTTCAATCCTACTTAAAAAGGAAGTGAAATAAGTTCTCAAGATACAACTCAGGACTGTTCCATGTTTGGGGTGAAGAGTGTGTGGCTGTGTCCCATGCTTAAAACAACAAAATATTTCCCAGTGAATTTATGGGGGAAAATACCAATGGCTCCAAAAAGCCAGTGTGATATAGGGCTATTCTAAGAACATTTGGACTCTACTGGATGACTGTGAAAAGCATATCATGAACTGACATATAGTAGAAAATATGTGTTTATATGTATGTGTATGTGTTTGAGTGCGGAAGAATTTCTGAACATTTTCAACAGGAATGTAGCCTGTGCATCCACTGAAAAGGTTGATGCACGATTTGCTCTGATGTAAACTTTCGGTGTGAACAGATTTTCTGGTTCATTTTCAAAGTTATCCTTTGAAAGCATGAATTTGGCATGCTCAAAGTTTAACGTGTTCAAACTAAATTCAAGATTAACAGTTCAGGAGCTCCGAGTGTGCAATTTTTTTTCTTCCCTAAATTATGCCCGTTTCACATATCTTAGACTTTCCTTGCAAGGCAAACTGATACTGCCTCTTTTCGTAAGATGCTATCCAGTACCACACCAGTAGTGCTATTTAGGTGGAAGGAAATTAGCAACTCCTGTCACACATTTATATCAGGGATTGGGCCCTAAATCATATTCCATTGTATCTCACTGCTAATACCAAGGGCTTAATGTTCCCTCCCTGAAACTTGTAGCAGAATAATCAGGTTTACCAGGTTAGCAATTAAGATCCATGTTATGTAACTATTACAGCTAGATGAAGTTAACTCTTTACATCTGAGATGGAAAGATAACTACACATAAAAAAACTGGGTTAAAAGCATCCCAGCTAAATCTCAAAGGGACCGTATGACCTGGCATCGCCGGAAAATGCTAAAGCAGCTTCCCCAACCTGATGTTCTCTACTATAGGTACATTGGAATACAACACCTATAAATCCATAGCCCAACCATGCTGAAAGTGTATGATGGGGAATAGTCCAGCACATCTGAAGAGCATTAGCTAAGAAAAACTGTTCCCCAGACGTTGATCTTCTTGAGCCCTATCTCTAAAAATCCACTTGGGGAGGGGATTTCCCCCCTCCCCCAAAAGTGCTAGGGAGGGATAAAAACATTTGCACAGAATACTTGGTTCAGCCTTGAAGCCTAATGGTTACTCTAGGAAAATGTTGCCTCTCAGCCTCTTCACCCCCAGGGTTCTTGCAAGGAGAGAAAAAGACACAAACCTATTGTAATCCACTGTTACGTCTTCAGACAGAAATAGTGAAAAATAAAATATGCCCTCAGGAATTTTAAGGTAAATGGATTTTGTCAAGGAATTTATTTTTTACAAAAATGTGTGTGTGTAACATTACGAGTTGAGAGACAGATTCATGTTCCATTTTTGGGACATGTGCGGAGTAGTCATTGAAGAGGAGAAGAACGTGCACTGCAACGGTCAGAGAAGGAAAGAGGCGCTTGCCGCCACCTGTGGATTCTGGCGTGGAAATATGCAATTGCCGTTTAAAAGTGATACAGAACATGTTCTGCTTTGTGTCAGATAAAAACAGAAAGGTGTGAGAAAGATAGAGATAAAACATGAGAGGAATAGCAGAAAATGAAAAAGGGAAGAAGCATGTGATAGCAAGGGAGAAGCGAGTGATAGAGAGAGAGAGAAGGTGAAAGGCAGGCGAAGAGAGAAAAGGAAAGCTATGTAGGTAACACTGACAAGTTTAGTGCATGATGGATGTTGGGGCTGAAACTGGCTTGTTGACCTTACATGTTCTTTACAAGTTATTGCCATGATTTGGAATAACATCTCAATTTGCTTATATATTGCATCCTTTCATAGGCGCCCTATAAATACACATAGAGAGTTGGATCATGCTTTAGATCCACTCCAGATACGATGACAAATATTAGGATTGTCATATTGAGAATAGCATCCAAACCAGATATGGATCATCACATGTGATAATCATCTCTATAACCTTTTCACGACATGTATTTACACTGGGAAGCTGAGCCATGACTTCTCACCTTTGTGGTCTGCACAGAAATGTATCAATATCCTGGAAATGTGTCATTGCTGAAACGCCATTGAGCATTGTTCATTCCATGTGGCATAGTACAGTTTTGCTGTTAAATAAGAAAATGTTTGCAAGTGGGTCTTTATGCATTTCCAATGGGCATCACGAAAGAGTCCTGGAACAGCCTTAGTTGAGGATCAGACCTCAAAAGTAGTGCCAATATAGCAGGAATTCATTGGCACCACCTTGCTTCCCTTTCTTCAAAATTAATGAGGGATATTTGGTGGTTGTTGATTTGATGGTACCCAAAATGTTCCTTTATGGGAAAGAAAGAGTGCTCAGTCTGTGCTCTTATTGCCCTAGAGATTGCATATCATTCTTTTTTCTTTATCAAATAAAGATATTCTATTTGAACATAAATATTGTTTGTATCTTATTTTCTCTGTTGTGCTATATAAATTCCTCTCAAAATTAAAAAAAATCATTACAATTACAATCTCAAAATTAAAAAAAGTCATTACAACACATGAATTCTAATTATTAAAGTTCTAAATTATATGTTATATAAATTAAATTAAATAATATGCTATTTTTGTGTACGCACACAAATTGTTGATGGTATTAGTATATAAATGTTGCTCAGTAATCAGTATGTTCAAAAATGAACACAAAATCTTAGAAACAGCAAAGAGTATGATTAGGACTCCCAAGTCCCCCCACCCCACCCACTTGAGAAGTTCTCAGGATAAGCACTTCTTGTAACCTATGATGTTCCTAGCTTGTAAATCTACCATGGAATAGGCATGTGCATAGTTGCGATGAACCAAAATGATGGAAAATAAAAAATGTAAAGCAGAAACTCAGAAAAATATGATTATACTCAAGCACAGAATTAGATGTGTTAATGTTAATAGAATCTCTGTGTAGAATTTATATGGCTGATTGGAATGCAGAATCCTTATGACTCTGGCCTTGAACCAGTGCTACAATCACTATTTTATTTTATTTTTATTTTATTTTATTTTATTTTATTTTATTTTATTTTATTGTAGCTACTTTAAAGAAACACCAAAATAAATCAGCCCCTAGCTTTTAGCAAGCTATTTACATGTTTCAGCATCCAGGCATCCTTTAGTAATCATGGAAAAACAAAGTCTGTCTACCAATGTGTGATGAAATCTGGATATTGTGAGGAACTCACCATTGCGTGAAGTGAAAGTCAGTGTGTGCAGGTTTCTTAAGTAACAAAACAGCATCTGAATAGTTACGTGATTTGGATTGCAAAGATATGACAAGAACAGCAAAAATATAGTTCACAAGCTTTTATGGGGGAGAAATGGAGCAGACTACCTACATATACTATTTATACTTTTTTCCCCCAAAAGGCAGTAATTAGAAAATATCTGATTATTAAAGCAGCTGATTGAAATACATTTTCGGAAATACTACATACTATATAATACTACAAAATCTGTAGTGGAGTCCTTGGAGTTCTCTGAGCTTGGTTGTTTTCTTCCAGACATTTTGTTACCCAGCCAGGTGACATCTTCCGTGCTGGAAGGGAGTGGGGTTTGCTCTCTGTTTATATACAGTAGCTTACCCTGTCAGTGTTGGTGGGGGTGTTGTTTTCTCCCTGGTAGTTCCTTGATTAGGTTGTTATGTACTGCTTGATTGTCTGTCTGATTTGGTAGTTCCTTGATAGGGTATTGTTTACTGCTTGATTGATTGTCTGGTGTTAATCCTGGTGTTAATCTCTGCTTATCTGGGTGTTGATTGCAGGCAAGGAGGTGTTCTGGTCTTTTTGTTCCCTTTTTATTGTCTCTTTTGAATAGTGTGTAGATGTTTATCTCTGTGTGCCTGTTGATGGCTGCCTTGTCTGAATACCAAGCTTCCAGGAATTCCCTCTCATTTTTGGATTTAGCTTGGTCTGACAGTTTCCCAGTTGAAACCATGGTTAAGTCTGTCCATGAGTTGTGAGATTAAGAATCCAAAAAAAACCCAAAATCCAATACCCTATCAAGGGACTACCAACTCAGATAGATAATCAAGCAGTAAACAACAGTCTAATCAAGGAACTACCAAGGAGAAGACCACACTCCCACCAACACTGACAAGTCAAGCTACTGTATATAAACAGAGAGCAAACCCCACTCCCTTCTAGCACTGAAGATGTTATACTGTATATAAACAGAGAGCAAACCCCACTCCCTTCTAGCACTGAAGATGTTATACTGTATATAAACAGAGAGCAAACCCCACTCCCTTCTAGCACTGAAGATGTTACCTAGCTTGGTAACGAAACATCTGCAAGAAAACAACCAGGCTCAGAGAATCCCAAGGACTCCACAGTTCAATGCTGAGCTACACGTATTCTTTTCTAAAATCTGTAGTATTTGCTGCTCTGTGCCATCTTGAATTAATTATCTCCAACTTTGTGCCTTCCAAATGTATGGGCATTACAGCATCCAAGCTTTCCACTTAGTGTGGCCAATACCTAATTTGACTGAAAATTCTGGGAATTGTAGTCCCATTTATCTAAAAGGCACCATCTAATCTGAAGTCCAATTCAACTGGGTAATTAATAGATCATTAATTTACAAGATAGAGCTTCATCCATCTGATGATGATGCAAAGCCTCAGTTGCATTATATCCTAAATCTTTTACTCTCATCACTGAAAGTAAATGCAAGGTTTCTTTTGCAAAACCAGTATTTTTCTAGACCCTGGTTTTGTATTGACAAGGATTAGCCTCCACCCACATGTTTGCACAACAGCATAAATGCAACATATGTCTCCTACAGGAGAGGAGAACTTGTGGGCTTCTGGATTTTGTTCAATAATAACCCTCAGAAGCACCATCTGCCTGGCCAATAGTGAAGCAGCACAAGGATGATCACACTTTTTATGCTTGTTCCTCACAACCAGTGTGGACACATTTCTGCGCAGCTGGAGGCAGTCCTTTAATGTTTTTCTTTTGTCACTTTCCAGGGGCCATAGAAGAAGTGGCCAGATATATCAGGAGATCACCAAATGGGCAGAGCCAAAATATTTGCCTTCTTTTGGATTGGAGGGCTTTTAAAGAGCAAATGCTGTGTTAAGGTAGGTTTGCCCTTTAAAATGAGGAGGGAAGAAATGGGAGGGAGGCTACATTGTTTTAAGGATAAAATGGATGATTCTTCTGAAAAATCTCCAACTCCCACAAAAGTATATTTGGCTCTGCTTATTCTACTAGTGCCATTAGGGACCCCAAAGGGGTGTTGGGGGACACCTGGAATCCACTAGCTCTGGTTTACCCAGCTCTGCTCTATAGCAGGATTC